TTCTTGCAGCCCACACCGCCATGAGGTTCACCCTTCTGATACTATAGTTTCATTGTGGTGGCTTCCACTGCAGCTGGTGTGGTGGTCCACAAGTCACAGATGCTCAGCAAATGTTTGCCAGTTGATTGATGGAGTTTTTCTGCAGGTTGGGGAGTTGATGAGGTGGAACCATTACAGAAAGGTGATTTCTAGTAGCTTTCTAGTAACTGGAGCTGTAGGCCAAGTTTGCTTCCCACGGAGTGGAGAGGCTAGTACTAAGCTGCAGGCTGCTTCATTTGAATGCCTTGTGTAAGTGGGGTCCTTCCTGGGTACAGACAGGCGTGGGAGACAGGGCTTGTTTGCTTACTTCCTTGGGGGGTTCTTTGTTTTTCAGATTGCAGAGCCTGAGGCCTGTGATCAGATGTATGAGAGCCTAGCACGACTCCATTCAAACTATTACAAACACAAGGTGAGTGGGCCAGTCTTTTTTATATCCCCAGCGCTCGGACTGGAAATGACCAATGAGAGTGAGTGAAAATCTGATTATACAGTGCTTTGTAAAGAATTGTGGTTTTGCTACTTTCAAATGTAACCAGTAATTTCAACCAAGCCAACAAAGGCGCCGGGTAGAGGCTTTTAGGTCACCTAAATAAAAGCTATTTATAATTTTGAATAAAAGCCATGTGTTTTATAGACCAGTGTGTGCTCGGGGTGTATCTGACAACTCTTGGGCCTTACACGTATTTTCCCATCTACTCTGATGGAGCTGGCATTTCCTCACACTCTGGTGATAAAGATAGGTGCTTCGGGAAAGTCCTGTCAGACAAAGCTGGGCTTTTCCTCAGCCCTGACGTGATTACTGTCAAATTCCGTTTAGTGTGGTTTTCCCCAAGCTTGAACAATGTGTTCAGTAACTCCGGAGATATACACAGCCAAATGCCTAGCCTACAGGGAAAAGGGATTTCTTCTAAATCCTCGCAACTCAAAGCAGGGTCCCCGAGCAGCTGAGCAGGCATCCCCCTGGGAGCTGGTTAGAAATGCAGAATGGGGGAGAGGGGGCACACCTAGACCTCCTGAATCACACAGCCTACTTTTTGGGAGGATTCTTGGGTCCCTTCAAGCGAGGCCAAGTCTTTGGCCTCTAGGTGGCGCTGCTCTTCTAGCCCCCCTCGCTGGTGAACTGTGTGGGGAGAGCAAGGCTTCTCCAGGATCATCAGGTCTCTGATGTTATGCTGCAGAACTAATCTCTCCCCATCCTCTCTGTCCTCTCTGCCCCATGTGACCAGTACCCTCGCCCCAGAGACACGAGCTTCAGTGGCCTGTCCGTGGAAGAATACAAGCTGATCCTGTCCACAGGTATTGACAGTCCAGCTGCCCTTTCCAGTCAGTTTGCAAATGATTCTTTGAGTTCGAGCAGACAAGGGGAATTGTTTAGTAACACCGCTCTGCTTGATGGAAAGCCTTGTGGAATAGCCCAAAGGAAATTCTGAAGCTTCGGGGCTCATGCTTTTTGGCCATAGAATATGGAGAAGGTCAAAGGCATTATTTTAAAAAAGAAAATCCATCTTTAGAGTTTTTAAATTCAGGGCAGCAGGGAACAGGGGAATACATATTTGCCAAATGGAAGTAGTTGAAATCAGGATGGAAGGAAAATAATTTTATTTTTATGGTCCTAAGGAGGCTTTATAAACAATGAGGGTTTTAATTAAAACAAAAAGCCATTCAGTAAACTTGTATGGGGATACCCATCAAAGAGTTATCTGACCCAGGGGACGTGGTTTTGGGTTAGATATGGGTTTAACTTAGGTACGTTTGGGAGTTGTTGATGGACCTCAATTAACAGGAAAGGAAATACTCTGCTCAGCCGTCCCCTCCTTACTTCCCCATCTCCATTGCCATCAAAGGGGGAGTTGGGGGTACTGGCAAGGGGAGCCTGGGTTGAAGTAGGCAAGTTCTGGAAAATTACTATTTTTATTGCCAAGGATACTGTATACAAAAATAGGCTAACCTTTTCTGCAAGGGCATGGCCCTGAAACATTTGCCTTCTGGTACTCTAGAAATTTCTCTTTCCTATCCCTCTGGCAGCCTTTCAGCAACTAAGTTTTGGAGATTTGGCCTTCCAGAGAATTCTTACCTTCTGAACAGATTAAAACCTGGTGGTGTCACCTGCTATTGTATGTCAACTCTGAACCTATTTTTGTTACAGTACTCTGGAAAACTGGGGTAACGATATTTTGGCCAGGCAGAATTACTTTATCAACAGTTTTTAAAAACATGTACATAAATGTATTCCCCTGTTCCTAGGCCCATGCAGTTACCAGCATTGATGCACCGTGTCACTCTGAGGGCCCCACAGGGTTTGAACAAAGTTTGAACTTGAAATCAGAATGGAAATACGTTCCAGAGGCCCAGCCTCCACCCTCTTCATTAGCCCCTGGACACCTCTGCGATTTGCGGGCGGGCGGGGGCGTTGTGTGACAGACTGCAGCAAAGCACGGGGAGTTGGAACCCTCCCCACAACTGGCCTGTGGCTGTAGCTTGTTCTGGCTGGGAGTTCAGCTCTGGGAAATTTGCTGATAATTTGTTTTCACAATAAGCCTCGTATTTTTGTTGCGACTATGTGGCCAAGCTCACTGACTGTTCCTTCTGACAAGGCAAGAATACACACCTTACAGTGTTTGAGGGCCTGGTGGGTCTGACATGTGGCCAAGGTCTGGGGCCCAAGTGTGTTCCCCTGGGCTTGCGGTCATGGGAGACTCCTCCGAAAGAGGCCTCGTGGTTTGCAAGTGGACGGGGACCCCTCAGCATCCCACTTTGTGCCCACAAGAAAACCTAGACTTCTGGAAACGTTTCAGGGTGGGATGTTGGGCTCATGGCTGAAGTAGAGTGTGTGTCCTCATTTAGTCAAGAGCCCACTGATAATAAATGGAAGTTGCCTTTTTGTTCAGAAAAGCTCTTCTTTTTCTCTAGAAGTTTTGTTAACCAAAGAAAATCTAGGGTATGAAATTTAAACAATACTATGTGAAAATCTAAATTTAAAATACAGATAAAATTAGGCAACATAGAACTCTAGCCCTGGAGAGCCTTTAGACCGGTGGTTTTCCATGCGGGGGTGGGGGCGGGGGGGAGTGCCACATTGCCCTGTGACAACGTCTGGAGACATGTTTAGATGTCACAGCTAGGAGCCGGGTAGGGGGGCTGCTACTGACATCTAGTGGGTAGAAGCCAAGTTGCTGCTAAACATCCTCACAACCAGGATTATCTGGCCCAAAATGTCAATAGTGCCCAGACTGAGAAAGCTGGGTTTGGTTTCTGTGGGGTGTGAGTGTGTGTGTGTGTGTGCGTGTGCATGTGCGTGTGCACGTGTGTGTTCTTAAACAGGGGCCCCACTGGCTCTCACCAGCCGGCTCCCTGCAGCCTTCATAGCTACGAAGATGGCTTTTCCTGAGTGCCGGCCGGGTGCCAAGCAGATTCTTCTATTATTTCCTTTAGTCCACAACTTTGGAGGCAGGCGTTTTGATCTCCACCTTACAGATGAGGCACCTGAGGCTAAAGGGTTAAATCATTTGTTTCCCAGTGAGATCGGTAGGGATCCCAGGTCCCATCACCGTAAGGCACAGGGTGCTGAGCGTGGGGCCTGCGGCCTGCGGCACAGATGCTCCCTCCACGCGAGCAGTTGTTTTTCTGCAAGCGCATCTGATTTGCTTATCAGAAGTTGGGGCCACGCTTCCCTCTCTCAGGCCCACACTGTGTAAAAGTCAAGGGGTGCTCGGATGGCAAAAGCCTGTGGGGCCAATTTACATAGTCAAATTGCCCACTTCAGTCTGTTTATTTATTGTCCTCCCCTCTCGCAGACACCTTGGAAGAGTTTAAGGAAATGAATAAAGGCATGTGGAAGAAGCTGCAGGAGAAGTTTGCCCCCAGGAATCCCGAGGAGAAGCAGAAGGCCTGGCCTCGGTCCTTATCTCGCCCGCGCACCTAAGAATGGAGTCTTGCACGTTGCCATCATAAATAAAACTGCCCTGATTTCCCCATCCTCACGGTTTGGGAATCTCCTCCAGCCTTCACAAAAAGGAAGCCCTTGCTGCTCTAAAGGAAGCTTCTGCCTGAGAAAGGGTGCCATCGAGTGTCCACCCCGCCCACCGGTCAGGGTGGGGAAGTCTCCAGAGGAGAGGAAATGCAGGTCTCCGTCTGGGCCTGGGAAGGGAAGGTGACGGGGCCTCTGGGCAAGGTGCTTCCTGCGCAGCCACAGGGGCCCCACCTGCCAGTGGGGGTCTGGCTGGCTCCTGGCAAGATTCTCAGGCTCCCTTTTGTTGTAGGAGCTCCTGGGGGAGAGTCAAAAATAGCGGTAAATATTGAAGAAGGCATCCTGTTGCAAACAGAAAGCAGCAGGAGGTGGTGTGGCGGAGAGATGAGAAGAGACTGCTTGGCCCTCATTCCCACTGACTCAGAAGGACGGAGTCCGGTCCTCTGCCCCTGACCTTGCAGAAAACCCGTGTTCCAGGTTGGCTTAAGGGCCAGAGTAGAGCTACGGACGGGCCTTGGCCAGGCGGGGCCTCAGGTTGTGGTCGGCTTCAGCACTCTGCGCAGATTGTGTGGGAGGTCACAGGACAAAAGCCCCCTGGCCAGGGCCACACACGGGGTCACCTTATTATTCCCTGGAACCTTAGCTCTTTCGTAAATGTTCATGTTCCCCACTTGAGCTTTCTTCTGTCAGGCACAGAGCCGAGAGAAGGGGTAGGTAGGGCAGGGGCTGATGGCACCCCTCGTGGGGAAGAAGCGAACGTGAGCTCTTCACCTCATCTGTACCTGGACCCCTCAGTATGTGCTGAAATACATACAAGAAAACACAAACCACTTCTGTCCAGGCATCGCTGTGAGATGGGATGCACTCGGCCATCTACCAAGAGCCCGAGGCAAGGCCGGGCTGGTGGGCAAGGGCTCGAATTCTGTCCCCTGCCCGTGTCCCACAGGAACCCCCACAGCCCCTGGGGAGAATAGGAAACAGCATCCCTTTCTCACAGACTAGAGTTCTATTAATTTATTTAAGGCAATTAACATATTAGTTCTCAGGCCAAAGGATTTGCAAAATGTTACACCAAGAGATAAAACAAGCAGTCAAAAACCAGCCACTCGAACACGCCCGGGCCCTGTCATCTGGGCCAGCGACTGTTGTCAGCAGACCTGCTAGGAAGGGGCAGGTCCCAGGAGCAAGGCTCTTCGTCCTCGGGTCACAGTCTCCCTGGGGCCGAGCCAGAGGGATGGCCTGGACAATGAGGTCTCCATGCTGTCCACAGCAGATCCGAGGCCCGGCGGCAGCGGGGTGCCATGCAGCCATGGCCAGGGCCGGGCACGGCACCCTTGAATAAGTTAAATAACAGAACACTAAAATCACTAGTAACAACAGCGTTACTGCACCTTCCCCAGGCGTGGGCGGAGGCCAAATTGTAGTGCTTAGAATAGAGAGGCGACCCCACTCCTAATGACCCCACTCCTAATGACCCGCAGGGAGGAACACAGAGGAATGTCAGTTACTGCTTTAAGGGACAAAGCAACCGTCCTCCAAGATGACGTTTCTTCCTCTAAGGCATTAAGGTAAGCTGAGTCCCAGTGACTTGCCGAGTCCTCGATAATGGCTCTAGGCAGGACTGTCAGCTCCGTGGCTCCCCACGCCATGCTGGCCAGAGCCTGGGACGGCTCGGGGGTGTCCGGCAGAGTGGGGGCTGGAGGCCGAGTGGGCCCCTGGCCTAGAGAGGCTGGCGGGCTGGCTGGGCCACCTGACCCACGGGAAGGGGCAGCCTTCCAGTCACAGCTGTCCGTGATGACCGTCCCCTGTCGGGGCCTCCAGTGGCTCTCCTCAGCGGCTCATGCAGTTCTGGACATCCACAAAGCCCAGGCGTTGCCTGCGTTTCCGCTGCTCTGTCATCTAGGATTAAATGGGGGCCCACACGTCCGGTCGGGCCGCCTGGGACCCTCCCCCCGTGGGCACTGGGGAGGGGCTGGTGCCCGCCCCCGGCCCCCTGCCCCATGGGCCCAGCTGCTGTTTAACGCTGGCAGCAGGCCAAGGCCCACCCCAGGATGCATTGAAGATGTCCGCCCCAAACCCTTGTCCTCGATTAGTGTGTCACAAACCCCTGATGTGGTGCAGCTGGGAACCACCCCACCTAAAAGGGGCTGCCTAACCTCATTTAGCCACTGACAGATGGGAGAGGAGGATGCTCTGGGCAAGAGGGGGACTTGAGAAGTGGAAGGATGCCTTGACCTCCCCTATCACCAGTGAACCCCTCAGCAGCCTCCCTAGCAGCTGCTAGGGGGGAGGGGGTGAGCGAGGGGGAGGACCCCTCACACCTCTACCAAGAGTCCACTTGGCCCTGTCTTTCAGGGGGCTCACAGACAGGGGCTGCCAACCTCAGTCTAGCTTTCCATGGGGGGAGAGAGTGTCTCCAGAACCTGTCTTCCACCCCAGACCCATGAAGGAAAGGAAGGAGTGTGAAGGCCCCAACACTCTCCCCCTCTCCCTTGCGGCAGGCTGGGCTGTGACCTCCCAGTGACGGTCCGAAGCTGCCCAGCACAGGACCCCAAGGGTGGGGCCAGTATAGGCCTGGGTACACACCTGCTCCTTGAGCTCGTTGAGCTGGGCAGTGAGGTGGGACACCAGCTTCATGGTGGAGTTGAGCTTGTCTTGAAGAATCCGGATCTCATTCTGCTCCCCTTCCCCCTCATTGCTCACTAGGGACATGGCCCTCATCCGGGGGAACCAGTCCAGGTTCTTGTTCTGAAAAAGATCCCCGGCGGGATGAGCAAGCTGGGGCCCAGCCTAGGAAGGCCTCATTTAGAAAAGCAGTAAAGGATGGGGAGCCTGCTGTCACAGCCTGGACAGATTACTCCCCAGGGATGTGTCAGGGAAAATCTGAACCGACTGGGGTCCTCCCCGGAGCCAGAGGGCGGGTGGTGAACCCTCGGCGGGGCGTCGAGAGGCCCGTGCACTGGGACAGGCTAACTTCCGTTAGACGGCCTCAAGTCTCACTGGTATCAGCACCATCTGTTTACTGTCCTGACACCCTGCAAGAGGTGGAGGAGGGCCTCCGCACCAGACCCTGGAGCTCCTTCCTTCCTTCCTTCCTTCCTTCTGCCCCGCCCCACACGCCCTGCACCCCAGGAAGATGCGAGTCAGACACACGGCGCATTGAGGGAGGGGAGGCTCTGCTGAGGGCGGCTGGCAGCTGACGTGTGTCTGAGAGGCAAGGCCACG